ATTCGTGACCAATTGATCAATTAGAGTGCTTTTCATTAAAAAACATAAAAAAGGCGGAAACAATTTAGCAATGACTGTGTTAGAAATGCATGAAAACATTATTAATGTCGGATTTTTTTCTCATTTATTTTTAGTTCTCTTTAGAAAATTACACTTGAGAGTTTTCTGTAATGGCAATCAAAGGAGCAAATAAGACAGCACTGGAGCCCTTTTGTAATGTTAATGAAGGGGTAGGGACTGATCCCCAGCTTGTAAGGCCTTTTCTGTGTAGTTGCTTCAGAAGCCAGACAGATTTACGGATGTCTGAGAGCATGAGATAACCAATTAGGGAAGTCACCTTCTAACAAGACTCATCCTTTGTCCCATGAAGAAATCCAGCGTGGTCTTTTATAAATCTGACAATGGCTACACTCTTGTGTTTTAGCAGTAACATCTTATACAGCACAGGAATGTGGAAAACGATATGTCAAAATATCATCTTGTGTCCTGAGGCTCTGAGGTCTCTTAACTCCCCTCTCCTATTATTCCTTTCAGTTTTTTCCTTCCTACTCCTTCATCGTTCTACATTTTTCAGTTCCTAGTATTATCCTTTATGTTTAAAGTCCCTCATACAGAGCCTTAAGCTACATAAATGCAATAAGTAAACTCATCTATTGCTCTAATTCAGGTGAACAAAACCAAAAACATATTTTGGTAGCAATACTCTCGGATTTTCAATAACTTAACTTAAAACTTGGATGGTGGTGGTGGTGCTTGGGGAGTGAGGGGTCCTGTTACTGATTTCCATTCAGTTTCATTTGTGTCACTTCTCCCTGACAGGTGCCAGTCTTCATACAGAATGCTCTGGAATCAGACCATCTGGGTTCAAATCTGAACTCTACCACATACTAGTTAAGTGACCTTGTGCAAGTTACCTAACTTCTCTGTACCTCAGTTTCCTCACTTGTGAAAGAAGGATAATATTAGCACTTATTTCATTGTGCCATTATGAGAAGCAAATGAGTTAATACTTGCTAAGTGCCAGACCAGTGCTTGGCAAATAACAGACACTGTTTTAGAAACTTTATATGCATAAGTTATTTCATCTTCAAAACGATACGATGAGATAGGTGCAATTATTACTCTCATTTTATAGCTTAAGAAACTAAGGCACAGAAAGACTGAATAACTTGTCCCAGTTGGCCCAATTAGTAACTGAAGGATTGGCCTCAAACCCAGACTGTCTGGCTCCACAGCAAGTATTCAGTAAATGTTACTTGTTGTTGATACCTGAACGTATACACTCAATAAAATATAGCAAGCATTCAGTAAATGTTACTTGTTGTTGTTGATACCTGAACGTATACACTCAATAAAATATCTCCTGTTGCCCTGGCCGGGTAGCTCAGTTGGGTGGAGCATCGTTCCGATACGCCAAGGTTGCAGGCCGGATCCCCGGTCAAGGCACATACAAGAACCAACCAATGAATGCACAAAGTGGAACAACAAATCAATGTTTCTCTTTCTATCTCTCTCCCTCCCTTTCTTTCTCTCTAAAATCAAACAATAAAATTTTTAAAAGTGAAAAATACTTATAAAAAATAAATATCTGCTGTTGCTGCTGATAATGATGAATTTGTATGTGTAATCCTTCTTCAAAGTGTACTAAGATGTATATGACCCCTACAGGATTAGTCGATTTAGGCAAGGATTATCGCCTGAAGTCATTGGTGAAGTTTGTTGGGACATAGGATATTACCATGTGCCAAAGTGTCACCTGCTCAGGTTACTTCTCAATTGCAAAGGAGAGAAAGTAGCTTTGCGACAGAGATCCCTGGAGTGAGGTCGCTACCTTGAACCACGATCAAACTGAGCATCACAAACAGAGGGACAACCTGGCATTCGGTGCCTCCTGTTACAAGGTGCTCTGTATTCTTGCAATACAGAGCACCTTGTAACAAATGCTCCCTCGAAATATAATAAATGCTTTAGGTCTAACTTTGAGCTTACAGGAAATACACGGGGTAAAGGAAGAAATGAAATGATATCATGAGGCAACAACAAATCCAGAATGTGGAACATTCCACAAGATAAATGGCCTAACCTTTTAAAAAATTCAATGTCAAATAAAAAGACATAAAACACCAAGGCAAAAATGTGCTTTCCTTTTTAACAATCAGATCTAGTTTTGTTTTTGTTTTGTTTTTTTTTAGGTATGGAAGAAATTTCAAGGACGAATGGTGAAAGTTAGATATGGCCTAGATATTAGATAATATTAAGGAATTACTGTTCATTTTCTTAGGTTTAATGATGGCATTGTAGTAATACAGGCAAATGTCCTTATTCTTAGATGTACTGAATTATTTAGAGATGAAATGTCATTCTGCCTATAACTTACAAGTAGTTCAGAAAGAAATCACATACAAATGTAACCAATATAGCAATAAATTCCCAACTGTTGAATCTAGGTGTTATAGAGGTGTTAATTGTATCAATATTTCAACTTTAACTTTGAACATTTTCTTCACTTTTTTCATAAGATATATGCCTTATATCTTTGGAGAACATGTAGGACTTTTATTTTCATGTACTTAGTAATAGTTTCATGTTTTAACTACCTAAAACGTTTGCCTCTGAATTAATATTTAAAAAGAAATTTTTTTTAAAAAAAGTTACTAAATTCCTATTGGCTCAAGCTTATTGAAAACTTAATAATAGTTGTTGAAGAGAATTCAGTGCCTAACACATAGTAAATGCCCAATAAACGTTTGTCAATGTTCATTTATGTATGTAGTATGCTTTTCTGAGGATTGCAAAGTGGAGAGAGACAGGGAGAGAGGGAGAGGAGAGGAGAGAGGGAGAGAAGAAGAGAGAGAGGGAGGGAAGGAAGGAGAGAGGGAGGGAGAGGGAGGGAGATAGATAGAGAGGGAGAGGGAGAGGAGGTTGTGTTGTTTCTTTACGGATCAAGATATGCTGGGCAAGTACTTGAGATGGACAAAATGGGGGCCATTCGACCCTATCCTTTGATTCAAATAGCTTAGGTCATGAAGATTCTTGACCAAGTTTTGAGTTTGTTTTGCAAGGGCACGAAAATGAAAAATCTGTCCCTAGGACTAATCCAGAAGCAACTACTATTACTTGTTTAGAAAATACTGATGGAATCACACTTAATGACACATTTTTGAACAATTGTAGACTTTTCTTGATTCAGGAAAAGACGCAAGTTTTGCTCAAGTTTTGGCATGAACCCTACAAGTCACCAATACCAGTGGATGTTATTCTCTGAGAATCAATTAATATGGGGAAACTAGAGTCATTTTCAGCTCGTCCAGAAGGCAATGGTTCTCAAAGAGATGGCTTTAGGTAGTGAGATATACTTTGTATAAGAGGTGGGAAGAAAATGATCAAGATTAAAAAAATAATAATGGTATCATTTTGCATTTTCATAGTGCCATTTTCCTAAGGCACTTCATATCTATGTTAACTCATTTATTCTTATAATATCCCTGTAAGGTAGACATAGAACTACTGAGATTAAAAAAAATAAAAGGGATTTTCATCAGGGTCTAATATGTGGAAGAAATTCAAAAGGATATTATATTAGCAATAGAGATATTTCTTCATATTGAACAAATTGACCACCTCCTTCCCCTCTGCTTCAGTAAAGTCTTTTTAAAATGATAAAATCTATTATAATTTAGGGAGAATAAGATTACAGTTTACAACAGGGGAGACACTCCCAGTTCAATCTAAAAAGGTAATTTTATTCAATGATATAGGGCTGTCTCTCTTTAATAAAAAACACAAAATAATTCTCAAAAAGAGTACAAATCAGAATTTTTAAAACTTGAAATTTAAATGCACTTAGCTGACTATTACATAGTTTTCTTTATTTAACAATGGATCCTTTTGTAAAGAGAATCACTTTAAGTTATTTTATAAATATTAAGTTTTATAAAAAATTACACTGGCTTGTTAAAGCAGAATATACTTACAGTAAATGTTCTTTCTGAAACCAAAAATAAGAAAAAAAGGGGAGAGGGGACCACTAAGGAGCTAAACAATCTATGACAAATGTAGTTGTATAGAAAAGTCTTCAGCCTGAGGTTTCCCATTCTCAGATGACACAACATTAGCAACATGTAATCCTTTCCATTGGATTTTTAGATTCTAAATTTTTCCTCTCTTAATTGATCTAGGGATGCTTATTTTCAGTAATGTGCAAATTAAGAGCATGTGCTTAATTAACAAGGCCTAATTTGGGGTATATAAATACAATAAATTTTTCCCACAAAATTGTGTTTAAATACATACAATATTTTAACGTTAGTAAAATCCTTGGCAGGTGTGTTCAATCCTCACATTCAGGAACAGGTGGGGCAAAGAGCATAGAGGAGATGTCTTAAGACTTGGTGCCTGAACTAAAGACAGTCTTAGGGATATAGCGTTAACAGTTAATAAAGAGACAAAGATAGACAGCACTCTTCTCAAAATCTATTTCAACACAACGTTTTCTTTTTGTAAAGAAGCCCAAACTGGAGTTCTTTGTTAAGGCAACATAAATACGAACAGAAGTAGAAATGAGAGCAATAAGAGAAATCCCGACCTCAGAGTACTAGTGTTCATTCATTGCTGCTCAGCCCCTCACCTCCACTCCCCAGTTTGAATTAAATGCTGACTATGGTGAAGTGAAATTTCACTTTGGTAATCCCAGGGCCTAAAGTCTCTCTCTGATCTGGCTCAGAAGCCAGTCAGTGGAGGTATTTTTCTGTAATGGGCTGGGTAAGGAACAGGTCTTCTACTAGTTCACTTGCCAGAGAGAAGTCAAATCCTATCACCACAGCCATTGCCACAGCAAAAGATTTAGAGACCTTAGCTGATGGACCAAAGTATTAACAGCAATATTTGGAGAGCCCATGGGGTTCATTTTAATTAGAACTGACTCATAGAGAGCATTCTGCAAATTATAAAACTGTTCAAGATGTCTAGAGAATGTGGACCGACGTTGTATAATGACATACCTTTTAGAAGAGAAGCGGTTGAGTCTGTATCTTGGCTTTGACACTGAGTTATTAGAATCCTCTCCTGCAAGAAGGAAGATGCATTCACATACAAATTACTGCATTTCAGAGTACAGATGCGCTGTCTTCCAACTACCACACTAAAGAGAGGGTACACGCTCACAGAAACATTAAAGTTCCTCCTCCTCCCTACTTCTTACTCCCTCCTCCAAACTACCCCCAGTCAGTCCTGCAGTGTGCAGGCAAACCACACAGGAACTAGCAGATATGGGGCTTCAGAGAGTTGGGTGTGAGCCTTAGATTATGTGGTTTTGTTTTCTTGCTGCCAGAGTTGAACTAAAATGCAGGAGGTTCACTGAAACACTTTGCTTCTTTATGCTTGGTTTCAGTTTTAACAAATTTCCCCCTGAACCATTATGTTCACATAAGAAAATTTCTAATCCTGGTGATGATCTATTGGCAAGCTGCTGCTGGTCTTAAGGAAAACGCTCATTTTCTCTTAGTATAGCCAAACATCCATAGAAACATTAAGAATTCTTAGGGGCACTTACTTAATACCACTCTGGTTCACTCACAATATTAAAATCCCAGGGAAAATGCATTCTGAGTGCACTTAGCCCATAATATTACCCTTAACAAACAAACAAACAAAGAGAAAAGCTGAGCCAGGATGCGTTCTAACATGCTTTACCACAGTCAGGACATGAACTGGGACTGGCTACTTCAACTTCTGGGATTCACTTTCTCTTGAGTTGGTTGGACTTAAGGATTTCTGAAATTTTAAGATTTTTTTTTTTACTGCCTTAAAGATTTTTGTCACCTCAACTTTCTTAGTTCTTATCTTCAAATTTATAACTCACCCGCCTCTCTAAGTTCCTCCCTCCCATAACAAGTACAACTTGTGAAGGCCTCTTTCCCTCTCTTTTCTCTTGTTGGAAAATGGATTGCAACGTTGCATCTTTTGCACAAAATTAGACACGTTTCTATTTCATTCAGAGTTGGGGAACTGGACCCACGACAAAGAGGAAACTGTTGGCTCACAGGATATTCCTAACATCAATCCCTTGAAGACTAAGAAGAAAGGTATTATATAAGACTCAATTTGGGGTTCTAAAATGGAAACTTATTCTATACTGTGAAATGGTATCCTTTTCTATCTCTTTGCCCCTTTATACTTAAAACCTTGCTCAAGATTTACCCCTTTGAACTTTTATTTGGTAATGATTTTCTTTTTTAAAAAATTGAAATAGAAAAGAAGAATCTGGTGTGGAATCAGCAGAGTACCTTGGTCATAGTAGGTAGATGCTCAGTAAATATAGGGTGTCCCAAAAATATATATACACACTTTGAATAATTATAAAGACAGTGTTTAATAACATACATTTCTTTTTCAAAATTGAACTGTTAACATGTGTATACATTTTCTGGGGACACCCTGTATTTGTTAAATGAGTTAAAAGAAGTAATTTGCTACTCCCAACTCTTTAAAGAAGGACTTTTTAATAATGCCAGCGTGCTGAATTTCCTTAAATTCAAGTTGTGTCTGAACAGGGTCCCCATTATTTCCACACGTAAAGACAGAAATTTCAAGATAACAACATGTTGCTGATTTTAAAACAATGACATCTCAAGGTTGGTCTCTGTGTCCTCAGCAGCTCCACTGCTGGTTTTCAAACACTGAATCCTCTGGCCACAGTACTTATCCCAAGTTATTGGTTAAACACTGAATCCCTAAACTTCCATGGCTGGGGAGTGGGAAGAAAGGAAAAGTTGAGTAGTGCTCTATAGGAAGTACCATGGTGTTTTTAGCTTGCACCATAATGAGGAAGCTACTTTTCCACAGGATACTGCATTCCTGGGAGCAAAATATAACCCCGCCCCTAACAAGTATGGGCAGAGTGCAGAACAGAAAAATCTCTAAGAGAAGTTATTTCAGTAGTAAGTAACAATCAGTAGATGTGAGAGAGCCTATTGGGAGGATAGCAAGGCCACTTATTGGTTTATTTCATAACAGCTCTGTCACTGAACAAGTGCAAAGGCAGAACCTTAGAATAAAGACTGTAATGTGAGATTGCCAGCATTTCAGCCCTCACCCCATCATGGACACTCAGAAGAATATAAGCCAAATTGGGAGGGTTTAGGAATATGTGAAATCTCAACTTATCTACAGTGGAGAATTTTTCTTTTAATACTATACTTGTTTAAAAATTTTTAGCAATTCTTTTTGAGGGAATCGTTGTTAATATCAGAACTTCTTGTGCATAACCATGTTTAATCTAACTCTATGGTAATATGTACTTCTTATTCAATAGTTTAGATCCAGTCACTCTCTTCTCACTCATTCAGTAAATAATGTTTGAACACTTACTTTGTGTTAGGCCTGTTCTAAGTGCTGGGAATGTATCAGTGAACAAAACTTAGCTCCTATCATCCTGAATCTTACTTCTGGCACAATGAGAAACAGGACGGGTGTCAGATGGTTGTACCACCACAGAGCGTTCTTATTCAATAGTTTAGATCCAGTCACTCTCTTCTCACTCATTCAGTAAATAATGTTTGAACACTTACTTTGTGTTAGGCCTGTTCTAAGTGCTGGGAATGTATCAGTGAACAAAACTTAGCTCCTATCATCCTGAATCTTACTTCTGGCACAATGAGAAACAGGACGGGTGTCAGATGGTTGTACCACCACAGAGAAACATAAAATGGGGCAAGAGTCATAGGGAGTGTGGCTGAGGTGGGGGGTTGTGATTTTACTGGGAGATCAAAGGAAGTTTGAGCAAAGTCCAAAATAAAGCCATGGAGCCAGCCTAATAGCTCTCTGGGCAAACAGCTTTTGCAGGTATAGGGACCAGCAGATGCAAAGGCTTAAGGTGGAGCAAGTCTGTAGGGATGGAGGTTAGAGAGAGACAGGGGCCAGAACATTAGGGCCTTGCTAGCCATGGCAAGGTCTCTGGGTTTTACTCTGAGTGAGATGGGAGTCAATGGAAGATTTTGAACTGGATATTACCATATATGATCTGACTTGGGTTTTAAGTTTTAAAAGAATCGCTCCAGTTGTCGTGTTGAGATTAGATTATAAGAGAGTAAGAACAGAAGCAGGGAGACCAGTTAGGAGGCTACTGTACTATTCCTGGCAAGAGATGATGGCAACCTAAGACAGCTTGTGGGAAGTGAAGGTTGTGGAAGTAACTGAATTCTGAATATACAGGGTGACCATAAAGTCTTGAAACACAGATATTATTATTTTATTGTGTATTAGAATATGTCACTGATATACCATTTATTAACTACGGACCACATATTACCCAGATTTAGTATGAAAGATGAGCTGATGAATATGATGCGCGGTGTGACAAAGAGACGAGTCAATGATGACTCCAAGGTCATGGCCTGAGAAACCAGAAGCAAGGATGTGTCACTTACTGAGATGGGGGAGCAGGTTTGGAAAGTCAGGAATTTGGTTCGGGACATATTAAATTTGAGATGTCTATGAGAAATACCAGTAGGGGGGCTGGTCAGGAGAGGTTAGAGCTGATTATGAAACATTGAGAGCTGTTGAAAGAGAAGGGTGTTAAAAGCTGAGACTGGATAAAGCCACCTAAAGAATAAATACAGAGAACAGGCCGCTCCAAAGTTGAGAGGGTCAGAGAAATGAGAAGAAACCAGCCAAAAAGGTGAGAAGGAGCAGCGATGCCCTAGAAATCAAGAGAATAAAACTTTGCTGACTTCTATAAAACTCTGAGTTTCGGGGGTGGGGAGGAGCACACCAAGTTATTATTGTAAAACGAAGTCTGTGTTTGGCGAATACTACAGTACTGCAACTAAATTATGGTGCCCCCAAATGGAGGAAAGCAGATAAAAAGGACCTCTTACATAATGGCACTTTAACGGAGTTAATTCCACTAGGTAGGTAGCACTACACTTATGCAGAGCCTGATCCACTCCCTTTTAAATTTATCCAGAGATTCAGTCTAAAAGGAGAAAATGAATGGGTTTAAAATGCCCTTCTCAAAATACCACAGGGAGACTTGTGATGGAGAATATCAACGGAGCTCAACATCAAGGACCAAAGATTAATCCTTAGGGTAGGGGAAAGGGCACAGAACTGGACACAGCACATTTGCGTTCAAGTTCTAGCTAAATCACTTGCTAGCTGAATGCTACTTGAATAATTGTGGGCCACGATGTAACCTATTTGTTCCTGCAAACTCAAGCTCAAGTTCACCTACTCTAGGAAGCCTTCCCTAACAAATCCCTTTTTTGCTCCCATATCACTTTATCCTTGCCTTTTTCATGGCAACCTATTGTAATTGCTGATTTATTCCTGCCTCCTCTAGGAGATATTAGACTATAATTTCCTTGTATTCCTTGGCTCAGCAGAGTGCCCGGCACACAGCAGGTGCTCAATCATGCAGAATGAATGCATGTTCCCCAAGCTCACTGCCTCAATATGTAAAATGGGATAATTAATGCCTACTTTTCAGAGTTCCTTTGAAATTTACATAAGATATGCTTAGGAAAAAATCTTCATAAACTATAACTCCATATATAAAAGACTTGTGTTTGTCCTCCTCCTCTCCCCTTACTTTACAGAATAGCCCTTTAGCATGACATTCATGGCCTTGGACAATCTCTTTCCTGGCCACCTTTTCTATTTCCCTCTGCTGCTACCCCACTCCTCCATATTACAGCCGGCTAAGCAATATTTCAAGCAGACCAACTTCTTTCGTACCTCCTACATTTTAGATGATACGTACCTATCTACATGTCAGCAGGAACAAGGTGGGCTGTTATGATCGAAAGTAGTAAGAATGAAAAACAAATGTTACCTGCATCTACTAAGCATTTTCCTATTCTCTGAGTCTTTTCCCTCCATCCTCGGAGAATGCTGACGTATTCCACTCCGCCACCAGCGTGCTTTCAAACATAGGTTTGCTTATATTTCCAATGCCTACTGGATAAAACCACCTAGCAGCAGGGACAAGGTCCCTCATGACCTGATTTTCCTCTGGCCACTTCACCTCCCTCCGCTGTTCTGCTAACAGCCGGTGCCATAGCCATAGTAACTACAGTCCTGGCAGGTTTCCCAAGGCAATAAGCCCGCTCAGCGTTCAGGCTTTTACACACGAGGGGTCCTTACCCTCTAACAGCCTCCTCTACTTTGCTTATTC